ATTTACTACTAAGCCCAAAATGTGAAGTATCCCCCCCCCCAAAAAAAAGAAATGAAAATTTCTTTGCAATATTTCCATATTTTTACATATATGTGTATCGTTATCACACAGAATCAATTTATTGATATATTGTCCAGCCAGGCAGGTATTCCCGGGGCCATGTAACTCATCTCATTAATAATTGTTCAAATATCTAAAAAAAAAAAAAATGTTTCAGATTCCAACCCCTAATGCAAATATGTTCTTCTTGCACATGACATAATGCACTGAGCACAGATTTCTGTGCCTCATTTTCAAACCCCAGTTGGCCCCTAGGGAGTAAAAATGAAAATTCCGAAACCTTAATGCAAATCTACCGGACACCAGCAATCATTTTCAAAAGATATTGCATAAAATGTAAGTTCTGGGAACCTGTTTTTTTGTTGTTTTTTTTTTTTTGGTTTTTTTTTTTTTTTTTGGTTTTTTTTTTTTTTTTGGTTTTTTTTTTGTAGAAAAAACTTTGTCTTTCAATCACCATTTGACCCCTAGGGTGAAAATTAAAATTCCAAAACCTTATTGCGTATCTACAGTTCACCCCCATTCATCTTCCAAAATATGATTTAGCTGTTGTTAAAAATATAAGAGTTTTGGGAACCAGGGTCTTTTTTAAGAAAAGGTCGTTTTTGACCCCCATTTGACCCCTATGGTGAAAATGAAAAATCCAAAGCCTTATTGCATATATATAGGACACCAGCATTCATCTTTCAATAGAAAATTTGACTATTGCGTAAATTATAAGAGGAATTCAGGCAACCAGAACTTTTCCCATAAAACATGTCATTTTTCTTCCCCATTTTACCCCCAGTGTGAAAATAAAAAATGCAAAACCATATTGCACATCTATAGGACACCAGGAATCATATCTCAAAAGATTTGTCTACTGCAATAAATATAAGTGGAGTTATGGGAACCAGTTTTATGTAGAAAGGCGTCAATTTCAACCTTTATTTGACCCCCAGGGTGAAAATAAAAATTCCGAAACCTTATTGCACGTCTACAAGACACCACAGAGCATCTTCCAAAAGATGATTTGGCTACTGGGTAAAATGTAAGAGGAGTTCAGGAAGCCAGATATTTATAGAAAAAGTATCATTTTTGATCTTTATTCTGCCCTCAGGGTAAAATTAAAAATCCCAAAGCCTTATTGCACATCTTCAGGACACTTCATATTATATTCCAAAAGATCAAATGCTTACTGCTTAAAATAAAAGAGTAGTTTGAGGAAGAAGAAAGTATGATAGACGGACGGACCAGGGTAACAACAGTATACCCTAACTTTCTTTAGAAATTATGGGCATAGTAAAAAGTATTTCCGATGACTTCTGATCTGTAGGGTACAAGATCAGGGTACAAAAATTGTGTTGGAATCAAAACTTATCACTCAAAAGGAAGGTAGGCTCCACAGAGTTGATAGAGAAATTGGTCTTTTTTAATTCACTAAAAAAAATCCACGACAGTTTATAGTTCTTGTGATGGAATGTTTAGTAATATACATATATTGGTTCATTGTTTTTGTTTTTCTTCTTTGTTTTTAAAAGGAAATATTAATAAATGATTACCTGAAATAGCTATAGAGACGCTCCTAATTCATTTTTTTTTTACTTCAAGTCTGAGTAATTGGCTACTAGTATGCATAAATATTATCTATTGCTGTAATTAAAAACAAGTAAACCTCTTTTTAAAACGAAATGGTCAATATATTTGATAAATGTATATTTTTTAAATTCCTGTTTGTCATAGAAGCATTGAGTCATTTTTTTTCTCGGTTACTGATAAGTTATAAATCAGCATTACGTAATTCTAAGAAACAGGAAGTAAATGTCAATGCGTCCTCTGTTGGAGATTGTGAATTTCTGTCCGCAGTAAAAGAGTTAATTTCACCTCTATTATCATGTTTCTAAAATGAAAATATATTTTCTTTTTTAACCCAAAAACTATTTTGAAATACAAAAAATTGATTGTTTTTTCCTAATATAATTTTAAATTTTGAATATCTCTATTTTTCCTCTCATGTTTTACTCATCATGTTGTCTGTTCCCCTACAAATGGAGTGTACCTTTTTTTAAAGATTAAACATTTCATTCTTATCATGCGAAAACAAGAAAACACTTGCTGAGGCATTTAACTCGACATTCAGATATATCGACGACGTAATGTCAATTAACAATGGTTATTTCCATTCTTATGTCGATACGATATATCCCGATGAGCTTAAGATAAAAGATACCACAGAGTCTGACACATCTGTTTCATATTTGGATATTTTACTTGAAAAAGACGTTAATGGTAATCAAACAACCAAGCTTTATGATAAACATGATGACTTTAACTTTTCAATCGTTAACTTTTCTTATGCAGCAATCTACCTTCATCACCTGCATATGAGGTTTATATCTCTCAGTTGATTCGATACGCAAGTGCATGCTTTACGTACGTACAATTTCTAAGATGAGGTAAATTATTGAAAAACAAGTTGATGAAACAAGAATATCAGCAGTCTCGTTTAAAGTCATCATTTTGTAAGTTCTATGGTCGATACAATGACCTTGTCAGCAAATACAATTTATCATTGAGTCAAATGCTGACTGATTTTTTTCATACTAATTGTTAGGCCATTATTTACACACTGAATTGTCGACGATTTTTTCCGTAATTTCCCGATCATGACAAGGAACACACGGCGGGTATGACCTGTCGGCAGGGGAAGCTCACTCCTCCATGGCACCTGATCCCACCTCTGATGTTTTAGAGGTCCGTGTTTGCTCTGCTCCTATTTTGTATTGTTTAATGGACTTTTGAGCTTGAATACTGTTCGTTATCTCCATTTATTTTCATTTTCGTTGAAGCTGATAATTTGGACCTTTTTTACCTTGAGCTTGGACTTTGACCTACCTTTAAGAGAGCTTTAACCTTAGCCATAACTGTAAAATGGTTGGTGCTAGGGTTATCATATTTCACTATTTCAACATTTCTTCTTCTTGTGAAAAGAAATCATTTTGGGTAACAACAGTTTTGACCTTTTGACCTTGATATTTGGAGTTTGACTTACTTATGAAAAACTTTAACCTTGATCTTAACTTTGGAACGATTGATGCTAGGATTTTCATATTTGACAGTGGAATTTCATGTGACAAGACTTATTCTTAAGTACCAATATTTTTGACCTCATGACCTTGAGCTAAAAATTTCAAGTACTTTTAAAGACCTTTAACTTAGACAATAATCTCTGAATGGGTGCTGCAAAGGCTTTCATTTTTCAAGTGCATGTATTCCTCATGACAATACCTTTTTAGATTCCAACATTTTGATCTCTTGTCCTTGGAGTTTGACTTGCATTGATTTTGCAGATACATGCAAATCCTCGGTTATTTTATTAACCTCTCTTTCGGACCTAGTGGAAATGACCTCTTATTAATATTAGTGTGTATTATACTGTGTATACAGAAATACTATGACAAGGGTAATTCGTGCAATTGTAGGATTCAGTGTATATTATCATCGTGGTATTTTACTTATTTTTCTGAGTTAAATTTTATCAAACTAAAAAGAATAGGAGATATTGATTTTTTTTCTATGGGAAACTGGATTATTTTACTGTTGTATGGTTAATGGAGATGTTTGATAAATACCACTTATTTATTAAGTGAAGACTTTTTTCATCGTTCACTGTAAAAAAAACCCACAAAGCAATGTTTTAATATTCCAATTTTAATTCCATTGTGCATTCATCCGTTCAGCTGATATTCTCAGTCAATTGTGTTTGGGAGTATTTGTTTGTGAATGACAATGGACTTTCTAAAAATAAACGTGCTTTAAAATACCTTCTTTTGTGTATAGATGTTTAAATCAGGGGGAACAGAGCTGAATGAAAGGAAACTACTGAGAATAAAATAATGAGAGATAAATGACATATTCAATGTTCCAAAAAATATCTTTAGAAAAAAGAAAACTTTTTCTTGTGTGTATTTCAGAAACAAATGTGGATAGAAAAAAGACAATATGCTATTGTTTTAGAAGCATGATAATATAGGTAAAATTAACTATTTTTACAGCGGACAGAAGGAATCTCCCATAGAGGACGCAGTGATATTTACTTCCTGTTTTCGTAGAATTACGTAATGCTGATTTGCAACTCATTAATGTCCGAGAGAAAAAATGGCGTCAAAACATCATTGCCGAACATGGAACATTGAATTAAAACAAAAACATACATCAAACATACTGACAATTATTTAACTTTTAAAAAATAGGTGCAATTAATGTTATTAATTACGCCAATAGATTATATATTATGCACACTTTTAGCCAATTACGCAGAATCAAAGTAAAAAATATATTAATAGGCGCATCTGTATAGTTAATTCGAGTAATCATTTATCAATATTTATCTCTATATACTTAAGAAAAACTTTTTTTGGACATAGAGAAAATTGTAGTATGTAAAGGTGTATATATGATGCTTATCTTTTTCATTTGTCTTTATAAAAATGCACGAGCAAATGTTAACCTTGGAACTTAAAAAAAAAATTTAATGCCAAAGTCTTTGTTAAAAAAAAATGACATTCATTCATGGGCTAACACAACTTCTCTTAATAGCAGTAGGTCACACATGTTTGACCTCTGCCTACGGTCAAGACCCTCTGAAATTCCAAGTGTTTGACTCCTTAACTAACACTTGTGTAACTTCATTTATAAAGATAGTGTGGCATGATAACCGAATTATTAAGAAATTACTAAGGAAGGTACTGAGTAATTGTCCTATTTTGTCTTTTAATTAATTAGATTATCCATTCTTAGGTCATTGAAAACAACTTGAGATAATTGTGCTTCAAGTGGTCAGAGAGTTATTGGTAACAACTGGGGGTGATGTGTTTTAAGTGTCAGAGAGAAAAAATGTTAAAGTGCTGATGTCGCATGATTTGCTGTTTTCCTATAAAAAAGGGGGGAACACAAAGAAAACCAGATCTAGGCTGAACCAGAGGTGCAGAAGCTATGGCTCTCTTCTTCTCTTTGTTAGGCTTCTTTATCGTCACAGTGGCCGGGTCTACGTGTGGGGACAGGAATTCCTGTTCCATGGAGTTATACGAGTATGAAAATTGTGTTAAAGCACAACACACAGCCATGGAAGTCCGCCTTCACACCCTGGAAACTGAAATGAAAAGGCTCCATCAAGGTAAATCATGCAGAATATGTAGGTTTCTTAATGTTCCTTAGGGTATGTCGCTCATGACATGAGTTATATCAAGGGTATATTTTTGAGAAGTATATTTTAGATAACTGCTCATAGAGCAGGACTCAGAATCACAAAGAAAATTGGGGGTCAGTGAGACTTTTTTTTTTTTGCTCTTAAATTGTAACTTTAAGGTTAATCACTTTAACGTTATTCATATTTCAGCAGATGTTATCATGGCAATAATTATAATCTTATTTTATTTAAAATGGTTTGAATGATATTTATCTCTGCAGAAATTCTGCATATTATTGTGTGCTAATTATTTTGTGACCCTTTTGCACACAAAAGTATCACATTTGGGGTATTAACAATCTAAATAAGCAATAAAATATTTTCTTGTATCAAGATTTTTATAACCAATGCTGATTTGTTGGAAGTATCGTGTAGTTTAAAATAATGCAAGAATACGTTGGGGACAATGATGTAAATCTTGAAATATTGGTCAAAATATGCGATTTTCAGACCAAAAAAAAACAGTGTTCATTTTTATCTTCATTCTTCGATATCTTCTTTTCTTGGCAAAGCCTCTAAAGTGAAAGTGTAATATTTGTTCTAAAAATATTAACTGAAAATCTACTTTAAATATTCCTAGCAAAAGATAACGAAAAAAAATCTGAGTAAAAATATGTAGGGCCAAAGTTCCAAAATATTAAATTTAACAAATGGTGGATTTGAAGAATTCTCTTCTAAATATCCCTCCACTATAAGAAATACTCCCCCATAAGCTTGTTCATTTATGATCTTGTGAGCAGTTTTTAAATTGATTTTTTTTTCATTTCCATTGTTTAATTCAAATAATTTATAAAAATTGAATTGTAATAAATAGTTTTAAAGTTAGAGGTTCTTGCCAAACTTTTCTCAAAACTGACGAGCGAATACCTCAAGGTAACAAAATATCTAAATAATTATTGACACATCGAAGTGATTATTGTTAAAATAAAACTTCCTTACTGATATTTAAAAAGGCAATGGATTTCTCTCTTTGAATATTTGCGAAAGGGGGGTTTCATACCGATATTTGATAAAGGTATACACTTACTTTTCCAACATCACATGACATGTTACTATCTTTATATTTCATCTACAGAGAACAGCCGGGTAGTGTCCTTCTTCGCCGGTCTTAGCGCCTCTGTCACACCCGTCATTGGACTTTTAAAATTTGACAACGTCATGCTGAACAGGGGTGAAGTTTACAACGGCACAACAGGTCTGTTTACCGCCCCCGTCAATGGTGTCTACTCATTTACACTTACAATAGGCCTACCCCAGCCTGAACAAGCAACTGATTACTTTCGAATGCATATAATGAAAAACAAAGAGATTATTGGATATCTTTTCATTGAGTGGGAAGGTAAATGGACAAAGAGGTCTGAGAGTGTTGTGGTAGAGCTTCAGGAAGGAGACCGAGTTCACGCCATGGTAGCCACCGCTCCGGCGGCATTCACACAGATAGGAGGGACCTCTTCATATCCTGGAACCCCCTACAGTTCCCACTTCTCGGGATTCTTAATTCAACATGATCATAAGCACTGAGACATGTCAGTTTCTTCTATTACTACTTTATAAAAGATAGAGGATATGCAGATTAATTTGTTTTCTTTCTTCTTATTTATATATTCTGATGAATTGACGTACGTGCATATTAAACTCAGAAATGTACGAATGTATAAAGTCAATTTGAAAACCCCAATATATATATATATATATATATATATATATATATATATATATATATATATATATATATATATATATATATATATATGATTTCCTTGTGATCTTTCAATTTGCTCTCGTCCCTGTGAGTTGTGCCATATATATGTTTTATGGTTGGACATGATTTTTTATCCAAAGAGTTGTGTGTTTTATCCCTAAGCCTTGGGAGAGGATAAAAGTACACAACAAGTTGAACAAAAACTCATATCTAGCCACAAACCATGGGAGATTCCTTTTCCTTTTATATCACACGTTTTACAATGAAATATGGAGATAAAGAACAGTTTTAAGCTCATAGTCCATTTAAACAATACATGTCGGGAGCAAAGCAAACACAGACCTCCTGAAACATCAGAGGCGGGATTAGGTGCCATGGAGGAGTAAGCATCTCCTGTCGACTGGTCACACCTGTGCTCTTTGTCAACGGAAAAATCCGTAGAAATTTCGGTGTGTAAATAATGGCCTAACAATTAGTTTCACAAACGTCAGTCAGCATTTGACCCAATGATAGATTTTATTTGTCGATAAAGTCATTGTATCGACCATAGAACTTGCGAAATAGGGTCTTCAAACGATACTGTTGCTATCCCTGTTTCATCAACTTGTTGGTTAATAGCTTGCCTCGTTTTGAAAATTGATTGTACATAAAGCATGCTCTTGTGTATATAATCAACTGTAAGACATAAATCCCATATGCAGGTGATAAGGGTATATTGCTCGCTCCGTGATAGGATGATCATGTGCCCGAATCACAGCCGCGACTGACCTAAGTCGATTAAATATAGATAGCAAATTTTCCTTCGCCAAGCGCTCGGCACTTTGAAGTGAAAGTTGCAGGTCTTTTGGATGAGACTTTAAAAGAACCGAGTCCCCTTAAGCTTGTTACTGTAGGCGTTGGCACAATAAAGAACACTCACCGCTTAATGGCCCTGCGTGCCGAGTAAAGATCTAAATTTGAAGCCGTTCACCGGTTTATGAGTCGTCTCTATATGAATGATAAATTCTCGAACGAGACGCAAAATAGCATTCAATCAATCAATCAATCAAACTGCATGTTAAATGTTTGAGCGCTATTGCAATATTCACGTGTGTTGTAATAAGTTCTGTTTTGTTTTTTTTTTAATCTTGTATGTCTTAATATTTTTTAATTACATCGCTAACATACATTTGATTAATATTCTGCGTGTCCAAAGTGCCTACGAAAAGCATACTTTTGAAATGTACTCTGTTTTACATCCGTGGTTCGAGGTAAGTTAAATATATGTGTATAAAAGAGTCTGGCACGAGCAATTAAAGAGGATTCATATGAAATCTTTTGTAAATATCTGTAAGAAGAGGTTGTTTTGTAACTGAAACTTATCGTTCACGGTAGCTCAGTCGGTAGAGCGGCCACGAATGACCTAAGTCGAAAAAAAGGGTAGCAACTGTTCCTTCGCCATGCGCTCGGCACTCTAAAGTGAAAGTTGCGGGTCCTTCGGATGAGACCTTAAAAACCGAGGCCCCGTGTCACGGCAGGCGTTGGCACGATAAAGATTTCTCACTGCTCAATGGCCCTAAGTGCAGAGTAAAGGTCAAAATTTGAAGCCCTTCACCGGTATATTGTGATGTTTCTATATGAGTGAAAAATTATCGAATGGGACGTAAAACAGCATACAATCAACCAATCAATCTAACTGAAACTTGCTTGGGAAATGTTTTATGGCTTTGTTTTTATACAGATTACGATATTGTGTGGAAAATCCCCTCAAATTTGTTGATAAGTTGAACTTCTCATGAAATTTTGAACCCAAGTAATAATATGACTTTTCCCAAGCACATCTTGGGTACAAAGATACGATGAGTTTATTTATATGACAAAATGTTAATAATAATGGTGTTAACCGACTGCGCCGGAGCGATTTATGTGATTTACTTCAAAAAATTATGAATGACCGTCACGTGATCGGCAAAGTCATGTGATATGACAAAAATGTTATATAGCCCAGGGAACCCTCCATATAAATTGGCTGTACTTAAGTACATCACTTACAAATCAAACCCAAATCCAACCTCGCAATGCAATATTATGTTTTGAACGCATTCTAATCCTTCGGGAAGCCTAAACATAGCTGCGACAGGTTGATTAAAGAAAGATAGCATGTTTTAAGCTGTCTTATATGTGGAAATCCACAATATTCAACTGGATGAAATTCACACAAAAATTACTGTGAGGTAACAACTCATTCACTGTGGATTTTAAAACGATATCCTATGAGCTTTATCCACTGCATAAAGGAGTTAACACATATAAAATGAGCCGCCCCATGCAAAAAGGGCCCTTAAGGTAGAAATTTTAAATTTTTTTTACTAATTTTTACTAATTTACTTTTCAATGGATTATGATAGATTATAGTGTAAAATAATCAAATATAAAGTTTTATTCAAATATTCAGAATAATTATTAAGATCTAGGGAATCAAAGGTTTAAGAAAATGTTAAGATGACGTTGAAAAATGACCTTCAAACTGACACTTTTATATCCCTCTCAGAAATATTTGAAATACGTATCTGAATTGAAAAACCTTACTTTATCACATGAAAACATACTTGTACATGACAAATTTATGCATAAATCCCCTGCTTTCATTTTACATGCAATATTTGATATAATTGTTTTTGTTAAAGTATATCTAAATTATACACTAGTTGTCGAAACGGTTTCATTGTTATTAATTTAATTTTACATGTATAAAGAAGAGGTGTTTTGGACTCTGTATCAGACAAAAGTTATAATTACATGTGCATTATAAGAGTGTCGACATTTTTGCATGTCAGATAAATGTCCATTTTGGTCATTTGTAGCACACATGATTTAAAAAATCCAATAAAAGTTCTTTATAAGTTTTCTCATAAATTAAACACAGATAATGGTTTTATATCGGTAAATACCCGGTGTGCTTTTTTCTTTTAAATAATAACTTATACACTCGCCACATCATGTTAGACGTAAATATTGCTCTGATATACGGTTCAGAGAAAAGTATATATTAAATTTAAACAAAACAAACAAACAAATAAAATATATGTGTTTAGATATTTTACAGACTTACAGAATTTTTTTGATTGCATTAGGAAAAAAGATTTTGAAAATTCAGCATTGATATTAAAATTTTCTGGGGAAAATAATTCTCATCTACAATGTAAATACTGACCCAAAATTTTTAGTCCTGTTTTTGTTTGTTTATTGTTTAACGTCCCTCTCGAGAATTTTTCATCCATACGGAGACGCCACGACCTGCCAGTGGAGAGCTACAAATTTTGACCTATACTCGGCACTTAGTGCCATTGAGCAGTGAGGGATCTTTTTCGTGCCAGCACCTGCTGCGACACGGGACCTCGGTTTATACGGTCTAATCCGAAGGACCGGTCTCCATGTCCCACAGTGGGATTTTTCGTCTTTTCGTCCTGAGAGGGCATACAAACATTAGCTTAAGCCTTCTTCTCAGGTGAGCTATTAAAGACAGACTAAAAAGCTCAAAAAGCGTTTAACATATCTACTGAAATATTTTTTCATACTCCATCATATATAATTAAAAAGGATATATATGAGAAAAAAACGCGTCCGCCATTAGGCTTTATTGTTTGTAGCTATAGACATGAATGACTCGTGAGTAAATTAATTAATCAACTAAAACATCTTCCCTTATGTAGGGTACTTTGTGCTTTGTAAGGCTCCTGGGACAAATATGTTTTTGTATTAAAAATATAAGGTTATTACTCTGAAAGACAAGGAAATTACAATAAAAATTTTCTCTCTCTCTCTCTCTCTCTCTCTCTCTCTCTCTCTCTCTCTCTCTCTTAGAGTTTATGAACCTGCAATCACAGACAGGATGAGATATAGTGCAGCACTTATGGATCAGGATATCATTTTCAAATTTAACACATAAAAATATTTTGTTATCTCACAACCATCCATAAATATTATAAATATCAAGATTTATTGTAATTTACCCTTCTATATTTATAGTGATTAACCAGGTAGATTTCTTCAAGTACTCTTTCCTACTATCATTGAACCTCTATATTTATATCACTATAGAACGGAATGTATTTGAATTTCATGATATCAAATCAATGCAAAATTTGAAGCCATTATTAGATGAGAAATTCTTCAATGAGCATCAGGATCAATCAAAGGATTTCTGTATTTGTGAAGGTCAGATATTAACATTTTATTACAATTACAAGAAAATTTTTTCCTGGGCTTCTTTGACTAGTAAAAGCAAATAATTTGTGATGAATGGAAAATAAGAAACATTAATAAGGGAAATGAGAAATTGTGTTCAATAACTTGATTTATCAAAATGGTACAGCTTCTTGATCCAAATGTACTTGACGAGTAGGTATCTATGTGTTAAATTGAACTGAAGACAGAAAAGTTTGATATGAATATTCAGATCTGAACACATATTTTCTAACTCTATTGGCATGTTTTTATAAAGGAAACAATATGAAAAATAAAAGTACGTCATTCAACATATAAACCTTGCTCATTTATAAAATACTAATTATTAAAAAACGACATTGGAGATGAAATTGAAAATCATTTGTTAAGATATTCTTCCGATATACAATATTAATGAATAATCTCATAAAAAATATTGATGATGAATGTACATTCAAAACAATCTCTTACTAATTAGGGATTTTTTTTTCGTGCCAACAACTACTGCGACACGGGACCTCGGTTTATACAGTCTCATCCGAAGGACTGCTGTCCACGTTCCGCAGTGGATTCGAACCCACGACGTAAAGATCAACAACTCCTTACTCCGCGACTCTAGGGCAGACGCTCTAACCACTGCGTCACATGAGTGACCAGTTCAGTGTGTGAATAATATCCTAACAACGTCAGTCAGCATTTGACCTAATGATAGATTGTATTTGCTGACAAGGTCATTATA